GTGCTCCCTGAGTTACAAATAAGATCTGCTCCGGTGTTTATAAGAATGAACACAGTAAGTCAGCCCAAGTGCGGTAGTTCTTATTTAGCCCTACTTGAGAAAGAGGGGGCTGGCTGCTCCTGGGAAGATGTATCCTTCTCAGTAAAGTTATCAGTTACTATGGGTAGCAATCAACTCCATGGGGGTGGGATGAGCTTAGTGCCAGAAAAGGGTGATGCCTTTGTCAGTCACTTAAACACTGCAAATGGGGCAAATGAACGTGGTTGTGATGAAGAATGTGTTTGGGAGTAGAGGGTGATTCCTTCAATGCAAAGTGATGGCCACTTTAGATACATTTAAGGGCAAGTCGGGAGTGATGCATACAAAGTAAAATAAATGGCAAAGACCTGGAATTAGACAACCAAAGGGGAAGAATACTCTCAGTATTTCTGAAGCTAAAAGAACTGAGGGGGAAAAATTCAAGCCTTGAGTTTGAGTGTTGAAGGATTCTATGAACAAAACACTGAATGATGCAGGAACAAGCAAACGCAAAGAATATACAGTCACTGCACCAAAAAAGAGTTAAGTCAACCATTTCAAGAGGAAGCATATTTTCAAGAACTAGTGGTATTGAAGGAGGAAGCTCAGACTGCACTGAAAGACATTGGGGAAAATCCGGCTCCGGGAATTGACCAATATCAACTAAGAAGTTTCAACAAATGGGTGCAATACTGGAAGCACTAATTGTCTATGTCAGGAAAATTGGAAAACAGCTCTCTGGCCAAATGACGGGAAGAGATCCATATGTGTACTCATTCCAGAGAAAGGTGATCCAACAGTTTGCAGAAAGTATCAAGCCAATAGCATTGATATCACACCCAAGAAAGTTTTGCTGAATATAATCCAAAACTAGCTGCAGCAGTACATCAACAGGGAACTGCCAAAAATTCAATATGGATTCAGAAGAGGTCTGGGATGAGAAATATCATTGGCTGATATCAGAGGGACTTGGCTGAAAGCAGAGAATGCCACAAAGACATGTAACAGTGTTTTTATTGACTTTGTAAAGACATTAGACTCTATAGGTCATTAAAACTTTTCAACACATTTGATTGTGCTTACAGAGAACCTGTACCTAGATCAAGAGACAGTTTTTCACACAGAATGAAGATTTTTTAAATCAGAAAAGGTGTGTGTCAGGGGTGTAGCCTTTCACCATACTTCTTCAATCTGTCTGCTGAGACAGGCATTCCGGAAGCTGAACTGTATGAAGAAGATGTGGCATCCGGCTGGGAGGAAGGCTCATTAACAACCTGCCATCTGCAGAGGATACAATTTTGCTTGCTGAAAGTGTAGAGGTAGAAGCATGGATGAAGATCACAGATTACAGCCTGGGGTATGGATTTAACGCACTCACTGGCTCAAAGTGACTCTGTAGGAAAGGGTAGAACTGCCTCTTTGGGTTTCTGAGACTGCAGCTCTTTACAGGAGCAGAAAAGCCTCATCTCCCTCCCCAGGAATGGGTCGACCTTGCAGTTAGCAGTCCAGCAGTTACCCCATCACACCACCAGGGCTTCTGCTGTAGGGATCGACCTCAATGGAAAGAAACAAAAACGTTGCCAACTGGACCAGTAAGCAACATCCTGGTCCATGGAGAAGCCACTTGCACTGGCCCAAGATTGCATGTTACCGGGATCCACACAAACACCTAGGGAAGCAGCACTCAAGAAATCAAATGACACACTGCTGCAAAAGACCCCTTGGCAGTGTCAAAGAACAAAAATATCACTCTGAGGCCTAGGGTGTGCTCCGCCCAAGCCGTGGAATGATGGATCCCTTGGTCAGCAGGTGAAAGCAGGCCAGTGAGTAGGGGAACTGGAGAGAACTGATGCCGTTGGATTACGGCATCCATGAGGAACATTGAAGGAAGTGTGAGCTGCCGGAAGAATGAACCACTCTGTCTTACAGGAAGTCATGCTTCTTAGGGGAAAGAACGGTGAGACCTCCTCTCAAGTATTTCGGACATGAGGAGGGACCAGTCCCTGGAGAAGGACATCATATTTGGTCAAGTAAAGGATCAGTGGGAACAAAAGGAACACGGTGTCAGTGCGGTGGCTTGGACACATTGGCCGGAAGCGCGGGCTCAGACAGGGCCATTGCTGTCAGGATGGCGCACAGCCGGGAGGTGTTACATTGGACTCTACATGGGTCGCCACCTCAACCTCACCCAACACCACCGCCAACAGGAGTTGCCCGTGTGCCAAGAGGTTCATGACCCAGGAGCCTGCCCCAGATATAATCAATAAAGAGACAGCAAAACCTGTAGAAGGCAGAAACCTGTCTGAGAAGGAAAACTCAAATGTCTACAGAGAA